AGAGTGGCTCAGAGATGGGAAGTAACGAAGTACAAATACTTTGTTACTGTATTCAAGTAGATTTTTCTGATATTTTTACTTTACTTTACTACTTATTTTTATGGCGACTTTTTACTTCTACTCCTTACATTTTTACACAAATATCTGTACTTTCTACTCCTTACATTTTAAAAAATTGTCTCGTTACTTTAGTTTTGAATCATTTCAATGGAGTTATCGTTATTATTTTTCACGTCATCAATACCAAATTCAATCTAATTGGATGGGAATCTACGTTGCATTTGACGCACCACTACAAGATGAATCGACAGATTCTGCGGTATTCATTGGCGGCAAATCATTGCAGCTTGGTGGCGGTAGCGTTAGCATAGTAGCATGGACGACGAGATGATTGAAAATGAACACAACGGAGATCTAGTCCTATTGGCAGACATCCATTTAAAATGTAGGCAACGGCATGAAAAAAGTGGTTTCTACTTTTACTTTTATACTTTAAGTAAATTTACAAGCCTGTACTTTGTTACTTTTACTTGAGTAAAGAAGTTTAATCAGTACTTCCACTTTTACCAGAGTATTTTTTAACACAAGTATCTGAACTTTTACTCAAGTACGGAAAGTGAGTACTTTTGCCATCTCTGGAGTGGCTCAGGTTATCCTGAGCTATCTCAGAGTCAAAACTCTTTGTCATCATTAGACCATAATGAAGTTTTTTGCGCAACATTGACACAGACAGAAAAGCCCCAAAACGTATAAGAACAGAACTATGAATTCAGTTTGAATTCAGTTTATTTCTATAGCACAATTCACAACACACATCTCATCTCAAAGCACTTTCCAGTTCACCAGATCATCCAGTCAGACTAATTCAAAGTTTTCTATCTAAGGAAAACCAGTTGATTGCATCAATTCAAAAAGGCTCCAGGACGCCAAGAAAGACCAGCAAGACGAGGTGAGCGCTACCACCAGTCTGGTCTCATGCCAACTGTAAAGCCTCCTGAAACCATTCATGTGTGGGGTTGCTTCTCAGCCAAGGGAGTCGGCTCTCTCACAGTCTGACCTAAAAACACAGCCATGAATAAAGAACCAGAATGTCCCCCCAGAGCAGCTTCTCCCAACCATCCAAGAGCAGTTTGGTGATGAACAATGCCTTTTCCAGCATGATTGAGCACCTCGCCATAAAGCAAAGCTGATATCTAACTGGCTCAGGGAACAAAAGAGAGAGATTTTGGGTCCATGGCCTGGAAACTCCCCTGATCTTAATCCCATTGAAAACTTGTGGTCAATCATCAAGAGACGGGTGGACAAACGAAAACCTAGGAATTCTGACCAAATGCTAAGCATTGATTGTGCAAGAATGGACGCTATCAGTCAGGATTTGGTCCAGAAGTTGATTGAGAGCATGACAGGGAGAATTGCAGAGGTCCTGAAGAAGAGGGGTTAACACTGCAAATATTGACTTGCTGCATTAACTCATTTTAACTGCCATTAAAAGCCTTTGTTACTCATAATATGATTGCAATTGTATTTCTGTACGTGATGATCTGACATACACACATGAAAACCAGAGGGCAGCAGATCAGGTGAAAATATAATATTTGTGTCATTCTCTTTGGCCATGACTGTAGATATAAAAGGCAACTGTCAACCAGCTCCACAGGCGGCCCCGTCCAGGAAACACACAGCCAGGCAGACGAGCTCCGAGCCAGCTCCCATGTCAGAGGATGAGAGCACATCCAGTTAGTCACAGTCAGAGAAACAGGACTACACTGAAAAACAGGCCGATCTCCAGCATCTATAAACAAAGGTGTTGATGGCAGCAGCACAGCTGATATTTCTCTCCAGGATGGAGTCACAGCCAAACAGGAACAGACCAGATGAAGCTACTATGAGAAAAAGCAGAGAGAGCAGAACGTTAGAGATTGACACAGTTGATCTATGATCCCTTTAAAATAAGGGGTGGACGTTTCTCTCGTGGGCCAGGCCTCTCCGGTACCACACTGAGGTTCAGGATGCTTCAGCAGAGGTCTGTGAGCAGGTGAGCGTCCAGGAAAGGTCAGAGGAGACATGGAGCGCAGGAGCTCCATCATGACCTGCCTGGTCTGTGAGGCGCTCAGGCTGAGGCTGATCCTGGAGCCCCACAGTGCAGACAGCTGCAACTCATCAGTCATTTACAGAATATTTCTCTCTCACAATCAAAGAATATTTTGCTCAGGATTCAAATTCAAACATGTATTTCACAATGTTCTGTTTTTTATGAAATTCAGCCGCATTAGTTTCTAACTCCTGCCAGCGGAGGAGGACAGGAAGTATCCATATTTACTCAGTTACTTTCACTTGAGTTACTTTTAAACAAAAATGTAATTTTAGAAGTTTTACTTTTGTTAAGTAATGTAGTGTTTTTTTCTCTGGCTTTAAAATAAATCTTTGTTTCAGTGAAAAGTTTCACTGAAAGAAGCTTTGCTGTTTTACTGCAGCCCAGACCACATATGGAGATCAGGGAAACATCACATGACCAGGGGTGGATTTAGGATATGTGGGGCCCTCGGCAAAGACAGGCAGGGGGTCCTCTGGACGGAGAACACAACACATAGAACAGACCCATTATCCAGATGTAGAAATGTTAATAGAATAGACATCCATTATCTGTTCTAGGTTGTGTCCCTCTCTTCTTGTCCCTTTTCTTCTTGTTTTCCTCTCTATGTTTTGTACTCAGCTGACTTTTCATGCTGTCTCTAAAGGAATGAAAGATTTTTTCCAAGCACTAAGCTCACTTAGCTGATTGCTCCTTCCTGTGTTTCCAAAAAGGCCAAAGTAAATAACCCAGTCCTTCTTTTCACTGTAGACAAGCCATGATCTGCTTCTCTGTTCTCCATTTTTCATTTGGATGAAATAATAGCTGCATGAATCATGACAGCAGACAAGATAGAGGAGAGCAGGAGGCGGGGTTACCAATCTACTCGCTCTGGAGAGCAGAGTTCGCTGCTTTTAGATGTTGAATAGTCGTATTTACCATACATGGAAACTGTTTTTTGGGGCCCCCAGGAACTTGGCGCCCAAGACAACTGCGGGGTATTGCCTAATGGTAAATCTCTCCCTGACTATGACATGATCTAAGCAATGGTTTCAAAAGATTTATGTTAATATGAATTTAATTGTTTCAACTGTTTGTGATTTTGTTCTTTTAGTCGTTAAACACTTTAGTTTGCACAGAATTCTTGATCCATCTCAAACTCGGTAATGATGAACTACATTTGCAAAGTCGGAGAAATTTACTAAAGCATCTGATTTACTTAAGTTTGGTCCATTTAAAAGTTTTTCTAAGCGAGCAATGATAGCGGTGTGGAGCGTTTAATCTCACACCTGCATCCGCCTCACCTCTAACTCTGCTCCAGCTGGGCGCCGCCTCCATCTTTAAACTCATGGCCTAACTGTATCCAAATTATCCCAAACAACAGTCAATAAAGATGGCCGTTGTTCCATCCATTTTAGTACTGCTGCAAATAAAAAACAACCAGACATCTGGCAGAAACACAGACTGTAATAAAACTGGATTTAAACTAATATTTTACTTCACTAAAGCTACTAAAAGACCTAAAAATTGTTTTTCCCCATAATTTTCAGTATTTACTGCCTTGGTTTGAGGTGGAATGAGAGCTGGTTAAAGTTAAAGTTTGCTGACCGGAGTTAAAGTCCGGTCAGCAAGGAATAATCAATGGATCACCATTTATACCTAAAACTAATACGTTCTCAGTGATTTAATGAATTTAACGTTAATCAGCTAAAATTAAAAACAATTTTAGTCTTGATCACTGAGTCTGGGAGCGGCCATGTTTGCCCAAACATAGTAACACCTCCCTCCTGCCATCTTCCAGCAGTGATGTCACGGTGCGGTAAGCTCAAGATGACTTGGATAATAGCGTGTTGTGACAAACACCAGATACAGCACTGGGACTTGATCAACAGCCGATACCGCACCGTGACGTCACTAACCAGTAGGTGGCAGTAGTGTTGACAAACATGGATGCCTCCAGTAAAGCACATTCATATGTAAATTACTCTGAATTAAAAACACTTATTTATTGAAGAGGATGGAATAATTTCATATTTAAAGGACTTTCAGAAGGTTGAATTCTGGATATGAGCCGACTTCTCCTTTAATAAGGACCAGAGATGGCAAAAGTACTCACTTTCTGTACTTGAGTAAAAGTACAGATACTTGTGTTAAAAAATACTCTGGTAAAAGTGGAAGTACTGATTAAACTTCTTTACTCAAGTAAAAGTAACAAAGTACAGGCTTGTAAATTTACTTAAAGTATAAAAGTAAAAGTAGAAACCACTTTTTTCATGCCGTTGCCTACATTTTAAATGGATGTCTGCCAATAGGACTAGATCTCCGTTGTGTTCATTTTCAATCATCTCGTCGTCCATGCTACTATGCTAACGCCACCGCCACCAAGCTGCAATGATTTGCCGCCAATGAATACCGCCAAATCTGTCGATTCATCTTGTAGTGGTGCGTCAAATGCAACGTAGATTCCCATCCAATTAGATTGAATTTGGTATTGATGACGTGAAAAATAATAACGGTAACTCCATTGAAATTATTCAAAACTAAAGTAACGAGACAATTTTTTAAAATGTAAGGAGTAGAAAGTACAGATATTTGTGTAAAAATGTAAGGAGTAGAAGTAAAAAGTCGCCATAAAAATAAGTAGTAAAGTAAAGTAAAAATATCAGAAAAATCTACTTGAGTACAGTAACGAAGTATTTGTACTTCGTTACTTCCCATCTCTGATAAGGACCTGCTCCCCACTTCAGAGGATGGATCAACCTTTGGTGAGTTAGTGAAGGAGAAACGCCTCGTCTCCTTTCATCATAACGAATCAGAGAAAAAGATGCAGACTGACAGGAAAGTTGAAGCTGTTTTACTCCAAGCTGCATTCTTTTCATTGAGGCAAACAAACCGTCAGTAACGTCTCAGAAAGAAAACCATCTGCTCCTGCTGTCCACATGTAACCATTTATTTTCAGACTCAGGTTGACACATTACTTTCTATCTGAAACGTTGCTTTACTGCCATCGGCTTCCTGTAGAGATGCAGATTCCTGCTGAAATGTTCCGCCTCCATCAGTGGCTGGATCGGTCAGGGCAGCTCAATGTGGCGTCCAGCTGTGATCCTGGAGAACAGCTGGAACATTTCAGCCAATCAGCCTTCCACTTTCACCCCAAGCTTCAAGACTCAATATTTAAAACTCTCCATTCATTAACAGCTGGGTTACCGTACAAATTGATAAAAAAACATCAAATTAAATAAAAGAAATAAAAAAAAAATACTTGAAATGTTGGTTTTCAAGGCAATTGTTCAGAGAAGGAATTTTGTAGAAAAGTTGCTCGGTCATTCAGAGCCAACACATGTTCAGTGACGTTAGCGTGTTGTTCCTGCGGTGGCCTGTGCAAACACCACATGCTCCTGTCTGCAGACGGCGCCCAGTTCTCCACAAACAAACCCACATGTAGAAATCACATCATTCTGTACAGGCAGGAGTAAAACAGCTAAAGACATCAGGTCCCAATGAGCTTCTGCTGCAGAGGCAGCGCTGTGGGGGCGGAGCCAAACCTCACAGCGATCCTCATCTGGCATCAGACCACAGCTTCTGCAGGAGTCCCTCACTGGGAACTGATCCGCTTCTGCACAGGATTCACTTGTTCAAATAGAAAAGTCCAGTTTGACTGAAGTCCAAAGTGCTCAATTAACCTTAAGGAAAGCTACACTTGGTCAAGGAAGCCCCGCCCCCCAGGACTGGGCCAGATGTCTGATTATTCATGGCTTCTCAGGCTACCAGCCTGGTCCAGGTCCAAACCACACCGTCCAGAAGCTCTGAACAGGAAATCACACAGAAATCTCATAGGTGGTTCCGCCGACGCCCGTCACCTTCTTCACCCCGCCGCCCTGAGGCCTGTGGAGCGGACTTTGTGTCATCGGCGAGCTCGGGTGTTCCGCTCCGGTTCTGCTGGGTGAGGAGGCCAGGTGAGAGGGGGAGGAGGGGGCGGAGCAGGAGGAGGAGGAGGAGAAGGGCTGGCCGCCATTGGTCCGACTCAGAGGGCTGATCCGGATCGGCTCACCTCTGGGTTCATCAGAAGACAAAGAACAGGAGTTAGAGACCGAGACGGATGGAGGCAGAACCTTCCTCTGCCTGGATCCACCCAGAACCTTCCTCTGCCTGGATCCACCCAGAACCTTCCTCTGCCTGGATCCACCCAGAACCTTCCTCTGCTTGGATCCACCCAGAACCTTCCTCTGCCTGGATCCACCCAGAACCTTCCTCTGCCTGGATCCACCCAGAACTTTCCTCTGCCTGGATCTACCCAGAACCTTCCTCTGCCTGGATCCACCCAGAACTTTCCTCTGCCTGGATCTACCCAGAACCTTCCTCTGCCTGGATCCACCCAGAACCTTCCTCTGCCTAAATCCACCCAGAACCTTCCTCTGCCTGGATCCACCCAGAACCTTCCTCTGCCTGGATCCACCCAGAACCTTCCTCTGCCTGGATCCACCCAGAACCTTCCTCTGCCTAAATCCACCCAGAACCTTCCTCTGCCTGGATCCACCCAGAACCTTCCTCTGCCTGGATCCACCCAGAACCTTCCTCTGCCTAAATCCACCCAGAACCTTCCTCTGCCTGGATCCACCCAGAACCTTCCTCTGCCTGGATCCACCCAGAACCTTCCTCTGCCTAAATCCACCCAGAACCTTCCTCTGCCTGGATCCACCCAGAACCTTCCTCTGCCTGGATCCACCCAGAACCTTCCTCTGCCTATATCCACCCAGAACCTTCCTCTGCCTGGATCCACCCAGAACCTTCCTCTGCCTGGATCTACCCAGAACCTTCCTCTGCCTGGGATCTACCCAGAACCTTCCTCTGCCTGGGATCTACCCAGAACCTTCCTCTGCCTGGGATCTACCCAGAACCTTCCTCTGCCTGGGATCCACCCAGAACCTTCCTCTGCCTGGATCCACCCAGAACCTTCCTCTGCCTGGGATCTACCCAGAACCTTCCTCTGCCTGGGATCCACCCAGAACCTTCCTCTGCCTGGATCCACCCAGAACCTTCCTCTGCCTGGGATCCACCCAGAACCTTCCTCTGCCTGGATCTACCCAGAACCTTCCTCTGCCTGGGATCTACCCAGAACCTTCCTCTGCCTGGGATCTACCCAGAACCTTCCTCTGCCTAAATCCACCCAGAACCTGAACCTTCCTCTGCCTAAATCCACCCAGAACCTTCCTCTGCCTGGATCCACCCAGAACCTTCCTCTGCCTAAATCCACCCAGAACCTTCCTCTGCCTGGATCCACCCAGAACGTTCCTCTGCCTGGATCCACCCAGAACCTTCCTCTGCCTAAATCCACCCAGAACCTTCCTCTGCCTAAATCCACCCAGAACCTTCCTCTGCCTGGATCCACCCAGAACCTTCCTCTGCCTAAATCCACCCAGAACCTTCCTCTGCCTAAATCCACCCAGAACCTTCCTCTGCCTGGATCCACCCAGAACCTTCCTCTGCCTGGATCCACCCAGAACCTTCCTCTGCCTGGATCCACCCAGAACCTTCCTCTGCCTATATCCACCCAGAACCTTCCTCTGCCTGGATCCACCCAGAACCTTCCTCTGCCTGGATCTACCCAGAACCTTCCTCTGCCTGGGATCTACCCAGAACCTTCCTCTGCCTGGGATCTACCCAGAACCTTCCTCTGCCTGGATCCACCCAGAACCTTCCTCTGCCTGGATCTACCCAGAACCTTCCTCTGCCTGGGATCTACCCAGAACCTTCCTCTGCCTGGGATCTACCCAGAACCTTCCTCTGCCTGGATCCACCCAGAACCTTCCTCTACCTGGGATCTACCCAGAACCTTCCTCTGCCTGGATCTACCCAGAACCTTCCTCTGCCTGGATCTACCCAGAACCTTCCTCTGCCTGGGATCTACCCAGAACCTTCCTCTGCCTGGGATCTACCCAGAACCTTCCTCTGCCTGGATCTACCCAGAACCTTCCTCTGCCTGGATCTACCCAGAACCTTCCTCTGCCTTGGATCTACCCAGAACCTTCCTCTGCCTGGGATCTACCCAGAACCTTCCTCTGCCTGGATCTACCCAGAACCTTCCTCTGCCTGGATCTACCCAGAACCTTCCTCTGCCTGGGATCTACCCAGAACCTTCCTCTGCCTGGGATCTACCCAGAACCTTCCTCTGCCTGGATCCACCCAGAACCTTCCTCTGCCTGGATCCACCCAGAACCTTCCTCTGCCTGGATCCACCCAGAACCTTCCTCTGCCTGGGATCTACCCAGAACCTTCCTCTGCCTGGATCCACCCAGAACCTTCCTCTGCCTGGATCCACCCAGAACCTTCCTCTGCCTGGATCCACCCAGAACCTTCCTCTGCCTGGATCTACCCAGAACCTTCCTCTGCCTGGATCTACCCAGAACCTTCCTCTGCCTGGGATCTACCCAGAACCTTCCTCTGCCTGGGATCTACCCAGAACCTTCCTCTGCCTGGATCCACCCAGAACCTTCCTCTGCCTGGATCTACCCAGAACCTTCCTCTGCCTGGGATCTACCCAGAACCTTCCTCTGCCTGGGATCTACCCAGAACCTTCCTCTGCCTGGGATCCACCCAGAACCTTTAAAAATCCAGTAACATTCAAATATGGCTGATCTCAGTCAGTCACACCAAAACAACAGGCTTCACTAATCAGCCGCCTGAATTTAAATGATTAAACACAAAACTAAGCAGATTAATTTAGTTCTCCACAGGAATGAAGCGCCCTGAGAGGCCTGTTTGCTGCAGGCGGTAAGTTCACAGCCACTGATGTTTTCAGCTTGTCACCAAAGACACTAAGACAGGAAGAAGTGGACAGAAATGTTGCTAGTCGCCTTAAAAAGCAGGAGTGGCCGCGCTGTTCACTTTGATACTGCTGGGCCAGCAGGGGGCGTGGCCAATGATGACACGAGGCCATGTCATCATCTCATTTAGAAGAAAATCTTTAACCTATTCAGATCCAGAGGAAGGTCAGGGGAAGGTCAGGTAGGTCACCAACCTCAGACATGCAGCATGGCAATGATCGGCTCTCTAAAGCCGGGCATACACTCTACTATGTTTCCAGGCGCTGCACACAGCTACAGCTCTAACTGTGCTACGAAGCTTAAAGGTTTAAAAGCTCGCACTGTACGTTCAGAAACCAACATCGGACTCAGCGCTGAAAGATGGCGCTGGTCGGACTCATCAATCTGGGAGAAGTCCATTGTTTGCGCATGCGCAGTGCTCGCAGTTCTGGCAAATCACCTCGTAGCTCAGCTCCAGCAGCAGGATTTACCCACCAACACCCTCAGGAGGGTCGACTGGATTTCAAACATGTTTGATTTTTCTCTGGTTAGAGGCTGATCACACCTCCTTACCCCCTGTACACTGCACAACGCAGGACGCACCATCAGGCTGAAACTCTATCCAACAGAGTCTTGCACGACTGGAGAATCGGGCCGAAAAGGGAAATAAATCCTACACTGAATGCCCGGCTTTAGAGACCAACCACAGGAAGATAAAGCTGAGTGAAAACGGCACAAACAGACAGAAAGAACAGAGAACATGCAGGATGGAGGAGAGCTACAGAGAGACGTCCTGTCTGAGACACCAGAGGATTTCATGGAACTGGATCTAAACTACGACCAGGATCAGAGTTTTCCCATCTGTGATCAGATCAGGAACTCTAGAACTGCACTGCTTCAGATGGCTCAATATTGGAGTAGCTCTGCTAGCTTCTCTCTCACTCTGATGGTTCCTCCCTTTGTGGATCACAGTTTTTTTTTCTGATGTTTTTTTTTCTGGTTCTGAATGCTGTGAAACTGGAAGGATTTTTACTGATATTTCTTCCTTTTAGGACACTTGTTATGATGTGTAACCAGCTGAAGGAGGTGCAGAGCAGGAGCCAGGAGACTACAGAGGAAGAAGAATTAGAAGCCGTCTCTTCCATTGGTCATCATGGGAAATCTTTAGGAAACTAGTTAGAAGAGCTCCAAGCCCTAAAAGGACCCAGTTTTACTGAAACCTGGCTGCAGGAGCATATCTCTGACTCAGCGTCTCTCTGCCAGGTTTTCTGACCAAATGAGCAGACAGAGATTTAAAGAAGACTGGGAAACTCAAAGGAGGTGGTTGGCAGTGCTTGTCAACAACAGATGTCAAGGACACCTACATCCCTGAAGTAAGACCTCCTCCTGGGAAATCAGATCAGCATCTTGTTTTTCTCTGTTCAGATTATAAACCACTTTATAAGAGACAACCTGCATTAAAAAGAACAGTAAGGAGATGGACACAGGAAGCTGAAGAAGCCCTGCAAGGTTGTTCTGAGGCTACAGACTGGGATGCTCTGTGTCAGCCACATGGAGAGGACATCAAAGCAATGACTGAGTGAGACTGACTACATCAACTCCTGTGTAGAAAACACAAATGAACTAGCAGCTATCAGGACGCCTGAAGTTTGCCATGGAGATGGAGTTGATGATGTCATCATTTATACAAGGCAGACAGCACTGTGAGGATCATGATTCCTCCAGAACATTTAACACCATTCAGCCTGACTGACTTAGAGAGAAACTCCAGCAGACTCAGGTGGAGGCATCAACAACCACCTGGATCACAGACTACCTGACAGACAGACCACAGGCTGTTAGACTGAAGGCTCAGCTGGCTGATCCAGCAGCACAGGAGCACCACAGGGGGCGCTACGCTCTCCATTCCTTTTTCCCTCTATCACCTCTGACTCCCAGGACCAGACAGAGTCCTGCCATCTGCAGAAATACTGGGATGACTCTGCAGTCATTGGGAGAATCAAATTTGGAGCAGAAGCTGAGCACAGAGAGATGGAGGTCTACTTGGTGGCGTGGTGTGGAAACAATCCTCTGATCCTGGATGTCAACAGAACAAGGAGATGATTGGAGGTTTTAGAAGAAACAGGAACAAGTTGAATCCTGTTAAAATCCTGGGAGAAGAAGTGGAGGAGGAGTAGAAATACTCTGGTGTTCTACAGGCAGCTTTGTGGTGAAGATGAGGCGGTCATGCAGCAGCAGGCAGACATGTTGGATCTGATGCTGTTGTTTCTGGGACACATCTGAGGTTAAACCAACTCAGGTCCACATCAGCGCCTTGGAGCCAAAGTTCTGCCCGTCCAGAACAAGCTGGTTATAAACTGGGACGGGTTTTGGTGAGAGGCGCCATTGACCGCATGAGTGGATGGTTCTGTTTGACCCGGTTCTGTCTGACCCGGTTCTGTCTGACCCGGTTCTGTTTGACCCGGTTCTGATTAACCCGGTTCTGATGGAGAGCTGCAGGCTGTTTAGCTACACACCCCGAGCTTCAGCTCTAAATGACCCGATTGGAGCTGTGATGGAGAGGGAAGGCGTCCAGGAACAACAGCATCAGAGGAAACGCTCGCTACGCTCACAGCTGAGGAAGAGGAGGAACTCACAGGAAATCTGGCAGGAGGAAGAGGAGCAGGAGGAAGAGCAGGAGGAGCAGTCAGGCTTTATTAGAGTCAGCAGCAAACCATCAATCAGGTCAAAGGTCAAACCCATACTCACTTTGGTGCTGGTACGGCCCCTCCACCCCCCTCCCCTCCTCCCACGGCGGCGGCGTTCGCTCCAGCTGAAGCCGACGCCTTGCGGACCAACCGGTACTGCATCTCAGCGGCGGCGGCGCTGGAGTACGACAGAGACTTTCCCAGCGGCGGCGGATGTGAGGAGAGGGGCGAGCGGGCGGAGCTGCTGGAGGAGGGGGGGCCCAGGGGGGCGTCTGTGGAGCGGGTCCGGTACGGGTAGGCGTGGTGGGATGGGGCATGGGGGGCGGCGAAGCGGGGAGGGCGGGAGGAGGAGTGGTGGTGGTGGTGGGAGTGGTGATGGTGATGATGGTGATGGTGTGGGGGGGGCGGGGCTGAGGAAAGCAGAGCGGGGGTCTGATTGGCTGCCTCCTTCTCTGGGGGGGGCGGAGGGGATGAGGAGGAGCGGTGGAGGAAGGGGTGGGGGGGGCGGTGGTGATGGGGGGACTGGGAGGACAGGGGTGGGGCTGCTGGGGTGCAGGGCCTCCCTGACCCCCCCGCTTTGTCCTCTCCTGCCAGCAGGCTCTCGTAGGAAAGGCTGCCGTTCCGGGAGGCGTGGTGAGGTGGCGGCGTCTGATTGGCCAGGCTCTTGAAGCTGGTGGAGGCGGTGGTCGCCTCGGAGACGTGGGCGGGGCCCACCGAGGTGTGGGTGGAGCTGGAGGAGCGGGATGCCCCCCCAGAGAGGACCGTGTGGTCGGAGAAGGAAGGGTAGGAGCGGCCCCCCAGGGAGTAGCCAGGCATGCCCCCCCCCTCCCTCCTGTCCCCCACCGGCCCCCCCGCCCCTCTGTCCGAGGACGCCTCCCTTCTGTCCAGGCTGGGCTGGGAGTGGAAGCCAGGCTGCTGGCTGGACTGCATCAGGGAGGAGGTGGAGGAGGAGGAGTCCCTGGCACTGCCCACACTCTCCCCTCGACTCAGCTACATGGGGGGAGGGGGGGCACAGGTTAGAGCCACACATCTAGATCCATCATAGAACCATGTCTTCTAGAAAACAACATCATTACGCTGCTTAGATCAGGATCAAGCTTCTGGAGGAGGGATAGAACAGCATACGCCGTCAGACCAGCATACGCCGTCAGACCAGCATACGCCGTCAAATAGCCAATAGTCAATAAGCATGCGCAAAACGAACAATAGACTCTAACCTACCTCAGTGGGCGTGTTTCCCTGTATTCATGTACAAAACCCCCAAACAATTTGAGGTCAGATCGCCACAGGCTTAAAAAAACAAAAAGGAAGTAATTAAATAGTTTTTTGTACAAAACTAAAGGGATAAACTAAAGGGATCAGCGAGTATCGACTATGGTATGCTGGTCTGATGAGGTATGCTCATCTGACAGAACACCAAACTCAGTGGGATTAAACGTCCATAATTTAAAGACAAAATGGTTTCTCCCTCATTCTTCCCATTCTTCTAGAATCTGCCGTTTTCTCCAGACTCAATAAGAACAAACTGAGCTGTTTGGTTCCTACATGGGAAGCTGAAATCAATAAAAAGCAGCGACAGAGCTCAGAATCTTTTCCTCATGAGGGAGAAAATGTGACCAGAACTAAAACATGACTCCATCAACACCTGGGTTTCTGATTGGAGTTAATGTGAGACTAATCTCTACGCACAGATGATCAGAAGTCTCAGTTTGAGAAAAAAAAATGACCTTGAAGTGTCAGATTAGCTGCATAATTCAGGAAAAAAATTCTCCATAAAATAAGCACTAATTAAAACAAATAAGGGGCAGGTTCTTGATGGACTTGCATCGTAAGAGTCACATGATTGACCAGACGCCATTACTGGCAGAAAACATGAAGAAGAAAACAGAAACTTTATGTTTACTCCATAAATTCATGACACATTTTTCAAATGTATTTCTTACTTATGGTTTATGGCCGCTCACACTGAGCCTGGTTCTACTGGAGGTTTCTTCCTGTTCAAAGGGAGTTTTTCCTCTCCACTGTCGCTACAAGCATGCTTAGTGTGAGGGATTGCTGAAGAGTCAATGAGTCGATGCAATCAACTGGTTTTTCTTAGATAGAAAACTTGGATTCAATCTGACTGGATGATCTGGTGAACTGGAAAGTGCCTTGAGATGACATGTACATCGAGTATATTCTATTCAGTTTATTTCTATAGCTCTAATTCACAACATGTCATCTCTAACTTTCCAGTTCACCAGATCATCCAGTCAGATTGATTCAAAGTTTTCTATCTAAGGAAAACCAGCTGATTGCATCGACTCATTGACTCTTCAGCAATCCCTCACACTAAGCATGCTTGTAGCGACAGTGGAGAGGAAAAACTCCCTTTGAACAGGAAGAAACCTCCAGCAGAACCAGGCTCAGTGTGAGCGGCCATCTGCTGAGGCCCACTGGGGTTCAAGGAGACAGAAGCAGACATAGAAAAAGAAGCATAGATACAAAAGGCAACTGTCAACCAGCTCCACAGGCGGCCCCGTCCAGGAAACACACAGCCAATTATGTTACTGAAATGTCTTTAGATGCTCTAATAGGTGTGATTTGATGTTCAGAGGTTTCACAGGCATTCTCTAAACTTGGCAATGTTCTCAAATTTATCACTTTTTGTGCTTCTTTAAAATTCCAATCAGATAAAGATCAGTGCAAAGAGTATGGAGATGATCTGATAATGCTTTAATTTTTGGACATTTCCACTTTTTATTGGTAATTTTAGGTCAATTTCTTTTTTCATGCTACATTTTTTTTAATCATGCACAAAAGAGCCCTTTATATTTAGCATTTTATTTAGCATTGCCTGTTTTTTGCTGTATTTCCTGTTTTGTTAAAGTTCTAATACTGACACCGATTTGAAACCAAAAGTTTGAATGAGGATATCAGTGCAATTTTATGCACTCTATTGATTTGAAGGTAATTTAAACATATTGTGGTATATATGGTATATGGCGATACAGCCCAAATATAGGGTTATATTAGAGTTTCTTCATAAGGCCCAGCCGTAGCGCTTCCCTGATGGAGGCTCAGCTCAGCGTCTTTATTTCGATGAGTTCAGGGGATTTATTAGAAAGCAAACAGTCTGCAGAGGAAGAGAGCAGCACACATGGACGGAGAGGATGAAGGTAGTTAGGAGGACGTTATAAACCAATGATAGGAGGCCGCTCTAACAGAGAGGAAGACTATGGTAGGTGAAGGAAGGTCCTTTCTTCTGGTTACTGCTGGGAAGTCAGGAGGATCCGGATCAGACATGAGCACAGATACAGCCATTAACGATGAGGCTAGATGAGCTAGGACTCCATGTTTGGATCAAACAGAAAGGGAGGGGGGGTTCTTAAAATAATCACTTACTGAAACTGATCAAAAGAAAGCCACTGAGTTACCAAACCAAGGAGGCAAGAGGAGATCAGAGGAAAAAACGGAGCCGTGTTAGACTGATGGAACGAGGAAGCAGAAACCGGTTCCGCCTGCAGCCCTGAGCCTTACCTGGTTGGCGTAAGCATGGGTGAGCGTGGCGTGGTTCTTCCCCGGGCTGTAGGTGGGCCTGTACTTGTACATGGTGGGGGTGGGAGGGGCTTTGTTCAGCAGGCTGCACTCTGCAGGAAACGGAGACGTTTCAGAGGCGGTCTGAGGAGGAGAGGCGGCTGCGGTGACCTCATCCCCTTACCTTCCATGTTCCTGATTCCAGGGTAACGCAGCTCGGGTTTGGGAGGAGGAGGGGGCTCAGCGTCACACGACTGACTCTCCATCATCTCAAGGCTGGACTTGGACTGGAAGACAGAGGGGACATGAGACCAAGGAACCGAACGGAGGAAATCTCATCGTTTAGCATTTAAAGGTCCGACTGATGATTTGAAGGCGGATTCTTCCACAGCATTAAAGTGATGCGTGGAAAACAGCTGTTAGGAAGGAGACTGTAAGGGTTGGACCAGCGATGAGCTCTAAATGCTAACAGAGCAGCAGTGTCTCACCCTGTGCATGTCTCCCTGGATGCCGTTGTCCAGGATCTTGGCTGCCAGCTGAGCCTCGGTGAGCTGCAGCCGCAGAAATGGAGGTTGAACACTCACGCTTTGCACACACGCCTTCCTGCCCAGATACCTGCACAGACAGCAGCACTCATTAGCACACTGATGGCTCCAGGCAGAAGCACAGCCAGCAAACACGCCGATTCCTCATTCACATCTCCCCCTAAATGTTCACCTTATGTTTACCTTATTTATTGGATGCATCCAAAAATATCAAAGATATTTTCAATTTAAACATAGAAATAAAATAATACATTATAACAGGGTTTATAGAGGAATGATTAACTTAATTAATTTAAAGATTTTTAATGCTCTTAGAAATTATTTTAAAGCCATCAACAAATACCCATGACTCTCATATATACACGGCAAATTCCTTCATCTTTTCCGTCGACAGGCTGTAATTCCCCAATTTCCAGCCACTTTTGTTGAAATGAGCATTTTCCCCATTCTCTAGCCTTTTCTGAACATTCCGGATCAACCGGAAGCAGTTCCGTGCAAATATATCGCAATATATTTGCAAATATATATATATTATTTAATAAATTTTTTTTATAAACTTTTTTTTTTCTAAATAAAGCATTTTTAATGTCAAAATCATCACATTTAATGAATTTTAATGGCAAAATAAAAAAATAAAAAATTTATTTAATGACTTTTAATGACCCGCAGACACCCAGTATAACTTGAAATAAATTAAATTATATTATTGCTCTCATCAAATCCATTCAGTTTAGTCTGTCCAATCAGCTGCCTGTAATGGCTTTAAATGTCCAGCAGGTGTCAGTATCCTGTGAGACAGAATCAAAGCAGCATCAATACAGTTTGGCTTCAAGATGCTTCAGTAACATTTACTATTGAGTTGATGTGAAAAGTAAATTTCTCCACTGTGAGATCAATAAAGTCTATTTTATCTTTTCTGAAATTATATATATATATATATATATATATATATATATATATATATATATATATCAATATATACAGGTGCTGGTCATAAAATTAGAATATCATGAAAAAGTAGATTGATTTCAGTAATTCCATTTAAAAAGTGAAACTTGTATATTATATTCATACATTACATACAAACTCATATATTTCAGATGTTTATTTTGTTTAATTTTGATGATTACAAATGACAACAAATGAAAATCTCAAATTCATCATATCAGAAAATTAGAATATTGTGAAAAGGTTCAAAATTGATGGCCCCTGGTGCCACACTCTAATCAGCTAATTAACTCAAACCACCTGCAAAAGCCTTTAAATGGTCTTTCAGTCTAGTTCTATAGGCTACACAATCATGGGGAAGACTGCTGACTTGACAGTTGTCCAAAAGACGACCATCGACACCTTGCACAAGGAGGGCAAGACACAAAAGGTCATCGCTAAAGAGGCTGGCTGTTCACAGAGCTCAGTGTCCAAGCACATTAATAGAGAGGCGAAGGGAAGGAAAAGATGTGGTCGAAAAAAGTGTACAAGCAAGAGAGATAACCGCACCCTGGAGAGGATTGTGAAACAAAACCCATTCAAAAATGTGGGGGAGATTCACAAAGAGTGGACTGCAGCTGGAGTGAGTGCTTCAAGAACCACCACACACAGACGTATGAAAGACATGGGTTTCTGCTGTCGCATTCCTTGTGTCAAGCCACTCTTGAACCACAGACAGCGTCAGAAGCGTCTTGCCTGGGCTAAAGAGAAACAGGACTGGACTGCTGGTGAGTGGTCCAAAGTCATGTTCTCTGATGAAAGTAAATTTTGCATTTCCTTTGGAAATCAAGGTCCCAGAGTCTGGAGGAAAAGAAGAGAGGCACTTCATCCACGTTGCTTGAAGTCCAGTGTAAAGTTTCCACAGTCAGTGATGGTTTGGGGTGCCATGTCATCTGCTGGTGTTGGTCCATTGTGTTTTCTGAGGTCCAGGGTCAACGCAGCCACATACCAGGAAGTTTTAGAGCACTTCATGCTTCCTGCAGCTGACCAACTTTTTGGAGATGCAGATTTCATTTTCCAACAGGACTTGGCACCTGCACACAGTGCCAAAGCTACCAGTACCTGGTTGAAGGACCATGGTATCCCTGTTCTTAATTGGCCAGCAAACTCTCCTGACCTTAACCCCATAGAAAATCTATGGGGTATTGTGAAGAAGAAGATGCAATACACCAGACCCAACAATTCAGAAGAGCTAAAAGCCACTATTAGAGCAACCTGGGCTATCATAACACCTGAGCAGTGCCACAGACTGATCGACTCCATGCCACGCCGCATTGCTGCAGTAATACAGGCCAAAGGAGGCCCAACTAAATACTGAGTGCTGTACATGCTCATACTTTTCATGTTCATACTTTTCAGTTGGCCAACATTTCTATAAATCCTTTGTTTTTATTGGTCTTCAGTAATATTCTAATTTTCTGATATGATGAATTTGGGATTTTCATTTGTTGTCATTTGTAATCATCAAAATTAAACAAAATAAACATCTGAAATATATGAGTTTGTATGTAATGTATGAATATAATATACAAGTTTCACTTTTTAAATGGAATTACTGAAATCAATCTACTTTTTCATGATATTCTAATTTTATGACCAGCACCTGTATATATATTTTTTAATTTATTTATTTTTTTCAGTCAAGCTAATAAATGTCAACATGGCCTACTGTAGCCTGCCCCCATGGCTCATCTAAAAAGTTCAGTTCTCTATTTTTCGTTCTTTCCTTGTAAATAATGAATCTTGGTCCTTTAACCAGATCCTCTGGCTAGCTGCAGCTAGTGAGAGGATCTCTCTTCACAAACCTATTTGAAGTAACTAGCGCCACCTAAATGGATGAAGTGTATTTTCCCTGTTTAAAGGGGAAGACCAATACTGGGAGCATCTGATTTACTTTTTAAAATCTTTTTATTGCGATTATTTTGGAAATGTTCCGCCCTGATTCCCTGACTTTCATGTTGTGAATAGAAACAATCCAGTCCCTCAAATTTTACTCACCTGGGCGCCTGAGAGCTGCAGAGGACATGGGAGACATTCCTCCAACAGCCATTGGTGAACGGATTCACCCCCCCTCGGAACTTTCCAGTCACCTGACGGCGGAGTGAGAGCAGATGATGAAGAACGGGACATCCTCAGACCTCGTCACCAAACTGAACACTTAGCATGGAATCAGGGGGCAGGGGTTCCTACCTGCTCGTTGGTTGTTCTGCCTCTGGCCACCAGCACCACATGGAAACCAGTGAGCCCAGCAACAGGGATGAAGAACAAGCCTGCCACACACATTACAGCCAGCCTGGGAGCAGCGGGAGTCAAGGAGCACGTCTGCACAGCGCAGGCCTGCGGGGGATCGCTGGATCTCTGCTAGAAACCAGATAGAGCTGAAAGGATACGTAACGATGGCGTGGAGGTGGTCGATGTTCTTCTGGTGGTAGAGGATGAAGAGCAGTCCGAACCCAAACACGGCCATGATGTGAGCCGTCAGAGACAGCAGGAACAGGAAGAAGTAGCGGTAGTTCCTCCTGCCGATGCAGTTATTCACCCACGGACAGTGATGGTCGAACTCCTGCAACCAGAAACAGGATTCTAACTTTATCTACGTGTTCAGCTCACTGAGCAGCAGAGGGAAAACCAGCAGGCTGTAGCTCTACTGCTCCAAGTTGACCAATTCTAAACAAAACACAGTCAACTACTCTTATATAACCAAGAAAAATCTGCTTCTTTCCTCAGCTCCATTCTCTCCCAGAGAGCCAGCTATTTAGTCAATGTCTGCTCCTCTGATGCTTTCTGAATGTTTGGACAGGATTACTAGATGTGACAGGTGTTAACCTGTCCTAATCAGCTGAGGTCATCACAGGCCGTAGAAACATATTCAGGAAGATGAGAGGGAGAGTTTGGAGCTCCAAGGAGAAAAGACTCAATATGGATCCTTCCATGATGGCCAGGACAGAACCTGGACATTACAGGATGAGACGGGATCAGGAGAGGACACGACAGGATGGATAGGATGGTGCCAGAACATGACAGGACAGAAGAGGACAGGATGGACTGGACGGTTTAGAACAGGACAGTAAAGAGGGGACAGAACATGATTGGACGGGACAGAAAGAATGAAACAGTATAGAACGGGAGAGGACAAGACGGGAAGAGATAGGACTGTACAAGACGAGACGGGACAGAACAGGATGGTACAGAATGGGACAGAAAGGGATGGTGTAGAATGAAACAGTATAGAACGGGAGGGGACAGGACGGGACGTGATGGGACGGTACAGAACTGGACATGGCCCAGTGTACCACCTTATCTGTAGGTTCTGTCCTGAGACGGACCTGCAGAAAGCCTTACATTAAAGGTTTGTCTTTAAGAATCCCTGATAGAGGACAGGGGAGCATCCTGATCAACAGAAGAGCCATAAAAGCAGCACCATGGAATAAAGGAGGTGTTACTGTAGGTTAACACTTTCAGGACATTTTCCTGCCCTGGGAGTCTCCTCATGAGGCTGCTGCCACTTTAATTGGGCTAGACAAACACTGCTGTGTGTGAAAACGGCTGCTGTGGGGCGGTGTCTTTGAACGCACCTCGACACAGTTGTCACAGACGGAGCAGTGGGAGCAACGTGGGGGTCTGTAGAAGCGACAGGTTGAACACCATTTCATCCTGACCTGGATCCCCCTGATCTCCACCGTCTTGTAGAGCGGAGCACGGAAGTCATCCTCTTTGTCCTCGTCTTCTTCCGCTGCACGCACAGCAAATACCTCATCAGTATCTCACTACAGTCAGCACACACTTCTGTACCAGCAGCAGAATGATTTACACAACTAAAATAGGTAGCTACTTCTTTAGTGAGAAACCGTCTATCCGACCAGGCGCTGTGGATTAGACTCTGAATTGTCTGAATAAACAGTCCGCTTCAATCTGAAAAACATTTATCTGGAGACAAACCAATAAGTTGATGCTTTTATAAACTCACCCCTTGGGAAGATGCCGGGGTCCATGAATGTGGCCATGCAGAAGTTAGCCAACACAAACAGAAAGATAACTCCATTGTAGATTGGAATGGCAACAGAGAAGCGCTCCGAGAGCCACGGACACCTGGAACACCGACAGCGACTCGTCAGACAGATATCAGGTGGAAGCACCAACACATCGCAGGCAGAGAAAATGAGCACTGAGGCACGCCGCTGAGCTGGGCGGCTTATCTGGCATTTATTTTTCAGTCAGAGGTACCTTCTATGATGCTGAAGCTCTAAAATCTCACACCTGTAAAGTCTGGCTCCATTATATTTCTACCAAAAACATTATCTCCTTTCAACTCACCATCCCTGTATTTGGCATTAAGAGTACTGCATACTCCATAGTGTTGCACCGATACCAGTAATGGGCGGGGCCTCGATCCAACACTAAAATGGTGCTATCGCTGTCAATAGCAACAAATAGGGCCGATACCATTTTGACAGCCGGAAGTTTCTTCAACTATTGTCACCCATTCCAGGTAGGCAATAAAAAGTTCTACTGGATTCACTTTGTTTTAGTCTTTTTCCTGCTTCACAAAGGTAGGCAGCAGCTTGACAAAGCCATGATGGCAATTATTTTACATCCAAGTAGGATGCAGTTCTTCATATGGTGGTATGATTGGCCGATTCTGCACAGCCAGGTATCGGGTATCGGGGCCAAATTGGCATTGCTGCAACACTAATACTCAATGAGATTAGATCCTATCAAACTGAGCTACACTATGAAGTGTTATTTATTGATCTCTTTTCAGGAAAAAGAACAGGAGAGACGAGGCTTTCAGGTGTGATGCTGGAGAAGATTCTCAGTCATCCAGGTCACAGTCATCCAAAAAAAGCCAATCCACTGGACTTTGTTTGAAGACGTTTCTCTTCCATCCAGGAAGCTTTTTCAGTTCAAAATGTCAGAAATAGCGTTTAGTTCCAGGTTTTATACAGTAGCCCAACAAAGCCTCGCTTTTGTTTAGAAACATGCTAAATGGAGAAATCACCTGAATGGACAGGTGTGGGAACGTCACCCATTCCAAAGGGGTGGACCCGTTCGTACGTTTCAATTTGCATGTTTTCTAAACAAAAACAAGTATATAATGTATATGTGTTATACATGTATATAACATTTACATCATCAGTTTTGGCACATTGGTATTATTATACACCATTAACACATTCATTTTATTGTGATGGATTTGTATAATATGTTACATTACATCATTTATAGGCTTCATAATGACTATGCAATGTGATGTGACTATTATTTTATTATAAGTTACAGTAATCTACTGATGCTATGAAACAGCCGGTGTCAAAGTGATGAATTTATCTTTATTTTAAAAGTCTTAAGACCCTCTGAAAATGAGATAATCATCGTTGTTTGATGCTGCAGTGTATTGTTTATACTGAGACCAGTCTAACTAGGGAGTACCAATATGGTGGCCGGTGGCTTCATTTCAACCCTGACGGGCTATCAGAGATCCAGGGAACAAATAGAGATCAGTGATCCTGTGTGTTTTATTATATTGTTGCAACATCAATGCCTGTATTGCTCTGTGAGAGTAAACCTTTCCTACATATCAGGAAGTATCACCAGCAGTCACTCTGAGCATCATGGAGGACATGAAGACTGAGTACTGCACGGTGCAGGAACCAACAGAGGCTCACCTGAAAGAGGAGGTGCTGAACAGACGGGCTGAGGCCTGTGGATGTAAGGGTTTTAAAGGTCTTTAAGCTGCTGCGTGAAATCAAGGCCTTTCTGAAGCTCCGATGTACAGAAAGTGATCAAGATGGAGCTCTGTTTGCAAAACTACCTTAAATAGAACTAGAAAGTCCTTTAAAGGGATAGTTCGGTATTTTTGACATGAATCTGTATGGCATCCCGATCACAAGCGGCATGCAATCACACTGACTTACCCCTGGCAGCGTCCTGTGAGCAGAGTTATCGTCCAGTTTTGGTCAAGCCGAAAGTAGTCCGCCGCGGAAGGAGACATGGCTGTTGTTGGGCTCGCTGTCTGAATGACGGCGCGCACTGATACGAACAGAGAGAAAATAGGACCAATTGATAACGACGTGTGACTTTTTCAACTACAATGTTTTTGGGATGCGAAAATATCACTCTTTTGGACACATAATGTTTTGGGAAGAGAAACGTTTTATTTCGCTGTACCTAAAAACCTGCAGGACTACTTTCGGCTTGACCAAAACTGGACGATAACTCTGCTCACAGGACGCTGCCAGGGGTAAGTCAGTGTGATTGCATGCCGCTGGTGATCGGGATGCCATACAGATTCATGTCAAAAATACCGAACTATCCCTTTAATGAAGGGGGAGGGTTGGTCTAGTGGTTAGAGCAGTGTGTTTGTGCTCTGAGAAGGTTGCAAGTACCTGCTTTGATCCCCACAGCCTCCACTCTGGGTCCCTGAGCAAGACCCTTAACCCCCCACTGCTCCCTGGGCGCTGCACAATGGCGGCCCACTGCTCCCCAAGGGGAGGGGCTAAATGCAGAGATAATTTCTCCAATGTGAGTTCAACAAAGTTCTATTATCATTATTATCTAATTAAAGGTTTTAGCAGAAGTCTTATTTTCACTGGTGAAACGAGGTTGGAAGTTTATTCCAGATGTGTTGTTTTGCCAGGCTTTTTCCATGTTTCCAGAAGTAAGTTAGAAAGTCAAAGAAAGGGGGGGTTGGGGGCATGAAGAGCAGAAAAAATGAAAGATAAAGAAAACCAGCAGGTGAAATACGAGAGTTCTCCAAAACAGGATCTATTAGCAGGACTTTCTCGACCCCGGGTGAAACTCCGCCATGTTTATCCATCCTGTGAGAGGATAAACGAGGAGAAGAGGAGGGGTGGGGTAATGGCAGGCTGGGCGATGGGCTTTTGTCAGGGTGACAGATGTTGGCCTATTTTCTCTTTCCTAATCCAAAGCACAGAGCAAACTGCCCCCCCACACTGACCACACATATTAGCGCTCCCACACACATGCCTTCATGCAAAGAGGCAGACCTCTGCATGCACACACACCTTTCCATCTGATTTTCTCCCACCAATGCTCTTTTAGCCTTTATCTTTCAGGCAAACAGCCACGCAGAATGGAGGTGTTAGCACACTGCTGCCCCCTGCTGGAGCAGCAGGAAACCCCAGGTTTAACCCATGAGAAGGAGCCAGTTCCAGTGATTCAGGGTTTTCATCACCCTGCCTCCTGTGCACCTCCCTCTGGAGGTGTTTTTCAGGTTGTCCTACTAAAGGGAAAAACGTTGTCTGAATCTGAAAACAAAAAACTTTAGTCAGCCGGTACTTTTGACCAGTATTAGTTTTGTTCTGAAATCGGCTCATAAGTAACACACACATTTCCTTTACTTCCACTTACTATGGATGTTTTCTTTGATTTGTTACAACCTGCGGCTCTGTAGCCACATGTGGCTCTATGAAGCCTCGACAACAGCGCTTAAAGTTCGCTCAGATTCAAAACTCAAACTTCTGTAAGTATTTTGAATATGAAATGATTCCATACTGTTCAATAAATGATAAGTGTTTTTTAATTTAAAGTAATGTTTGTCAAAGAACACTACTGCCACCTCCTGTGATGTCACGGTGTGGTATCGGCTGTTGATCAAGTCCCAGTGCTGTATCTATCTCAGCGGAGTCAGCGGGATCTAGCTCACGGTTGATCCGATGGAGGGACTCTGATTTGGGCCGGCGTCTCCAGGAGCAGCTGGGAGATGCTGGGTGGGGTCGGATCAACCGTGATCCCGCTGACTCCGCTGATCCTGAATATCCAACTTCTAACCAACCGGAATGTTTATGCAGGACGGCTTTTAACAAAATCACATTACTGATGTGTGGAATTCCCACTATAGCAGCTTAGATGGTTTAACATTATGCTAGATTTTCACTGTGTTTGTTAACTGCAGAGCACACAGTGACTGTCATAAAGCAGGAGTTTTCAGGTTTGTAATGAATATCTCTGTAGCCTCTGTAGTCTTCTCTGTCAGCAGAATCATTTCTGGTTATCCAGTAATCACTAACAGCAACATTCCTGAATTAGCTTTTTAGGAGTGAATGGAGGAGCAGCTGTTGGAAACATTGTCCTGGACTTCATGAGCTAATTTGCTAACGGGTTTAGGGCTAAGTTGGTTATTTGGTTTAGTCCAGGGTTAGTCATGTGTTGGTTAGGGTCAGCAACGTGTGGGGGCGGGGGGGCGTCAGTGACTGAGCATGACTTACGTGAAGCAGAAGAACAGCGTGGTGGATCCGACCAGGAAGAAGGTGGCTGCTGAAACAGGGACGTAGCGGGAAGGTCTGAGGGGCCTGCTGGGCGGGACCACGGCATGTGGGAGGGGGGAAGAGGAGGGGCCCCGCCCTCCGCTCTTACTGCTGCTACCGGGCATCACTGTCAGCTAGGAGCGCTGCTTCTGCTCATCAACAATGTCAGGGAATCGCTCACTGAGGCTCATTCCAGGGTGTGTGTGTGTGTGTGTGTGGGTGTGTGTGTGTGTGTGTGTGGGTGTGTGTGTGTGTGGGTGTGTGTGTGTGGGGGGGGGGGGGCCTGTTCTGATGAGCACAGGACAGATTTAGATTTTTTTTTTAAAAAGGCGTCAAAGAGGTTAGTCTGCAAGTTTGATGAGAGGATCAGCAAACTGTTCGACAGCAATAAGAAGCTTTCTCATTCAGAGGAACTCGAAGTATTTTGGTCATCAGCAGCTCTATAGCGACGGTTCCCTCAGCTGGATCGGTCTGTAGATATATAGAGAATAGATGGAGGCAGAGGTAGAGCTGTCCTGGGACCGAGAACCAGAGGATGGACAAACAGAGGAATGCTTTGAGGCTGACTGGTCTCCTTTATCTGGATCCTCCTTCAGACTGGATGGACTAGCTTAGCCATCCGCATTCACTTTGCTTAAAAACGGATATTTTATGCCAAATAAACAAACTCTTACAAAAAGAAATAGATAAAAAGATGTAAACAGCGTGGGTAACCCCGGTTTACTGCGCCAAGCAGTCTGTTAGCAGGCCTGTGTCGGGGCATCCCCAAACCCCCGCAGTGGCCAACTTAAACCCCCCCACCTGCCGGCTACATCCCCGAGCTGATTGGCAGGCAACAAGAGGAAACGGCTGGATTTCCAAAACACTCAGAGCCGACTCCAACAGACCATCCATTAGCATCCATGCGCGTGCTGCTGCTGCTGCTAAGTCGTTGCTCTCAGTGAGGATCTTCAGCATTAGCAGGGTAATTATCTCATTTCAGGCAGCACTAACAGAACCTGGCTGGGATGGATGAGGGTCCCTGTGAGATCCAGATATCAGAGCTCTTCCTTATTTCCTGATTTCCTTATTTCTTTCCTCTCCAGGTTCTTCTGTCTGCTTGTTCCTCTACAAGTAAGCTTCTTTTAAAGTTTCCCCTGTGAGAAAAGTTCATCTGCCAACAGATGAGTCCTGGAAAAATGGAAATCCCTTTAACTTGGGCTTTGCAAAGGTCCTTTAATCCCCGTCTTCAAAGCTGGGATGATGATCATGCTGTCTTTGAGGCCGGTGGACCCTCCTGGACCACAGCAGCAGAGGATCCAGGCTGAGGTCGGTCCAGCTGCTGCACCTGCAGCAGGAATGAGAGAAAAACACAACATCACCCCCCATTCACAGGCCTGCACACAACCTGGAGATTACAGATTATTATTCTGAAACAATTATTCTGATTAATCAATTATTATTATAATAATAATCATTAACTGATTTAGTAATCGATTAATGGTTAACAGGAGTTTAGAGACTTTAAATCATGTCTTTAACTGACAGAGCGACTCAGAACAATCATTATATCAAGACTGTAAAAAATAAAAAGATGCTAATGCTTTATTTTACAGTACATCAGGTTATCCTGAGCTATCTCTATAGTGATGCTGCTATAGGCTTAGACTGCTGGAGGACATAGGGACCCCTTTTTCATCATTCTATCTCTATTCTCCCACTCTGCAGAATCTGTTAGTTCAATCTCTAACGTTTTGCTCTCTCTGCTTTTTCTCATAGTAGCTTCATCTGGTCTGTTCCTGTTTGGCTGTGACTCCATCCTGGAGAGAAATATCAGCTGTGCTGCTGCCATCAACACCTTTGTTTATAGATGTTGGAGCTTGGCCTGTTTTTCAGTGTAGTCCTGTTTCTCTGACTGTGACTAACTGGATGTGCTCTCTTCATCCTCTGACATGGGAGCTGGCTCGGAGCTCGTCTGCCTGGCTGTGTGTTTCCTGGACGGGGCCGCCTGTGGAGCTGGTTGACAGTTGCTTTTTGTATCTATGCTTGTTTTTCTATGTCTGCTTCTGTCTCCTTGAACCCCAGTCGGCCTCAGCAGATGGCCGCTCACACTGAGCCTGGTTCTGCTGGAGGTTTCTTCCTGTTAAAAGGGAGTTTTTCCTCTCTACTGTCGCTACAAGCATGCTTAGTGTGAGGGATTGCTGAAGAGTCAATGAGTCGATGCAATCAACTGGTTTTACTTAGATAGAAAACTTTGAATCAATCTGACTGGATGATCTGGTGACCTGTGAAATGCCTTGAGATGACATGATGTGAATTGGCGCTATAGAAATAAACTGAATAGAATCAATACCATGTAATTCTATGATAATAACATAGCGAGTGACACTATATTACTTGGTAACAAGAAAAACCTTATTTGGTAATTACCAAAAAATGAATGTACATAATGTCAAACTATTTACCTGCCTGTAATTATTACAATATATGTTACTATGTAACAATGGAGACTTTTAGCGGGGAATTACCATTAGGTTCCAAAATAACGGTTTCTATTATTAGCCACCATCTACCACCAGGTTACAAAGTAGATTGTAACTTATGATCAGGTAAATAGAGCATTATAAAACTGAACTCAGGCTACATATCAATAAGAGTTTAGTTAAGAAGCTTGGCTTACTGTCTTCTAGGTTTTCTGTTATATGGCGAGTAATAAACTGTATTTTACTAGAAAATAACATTAATGTATCGCTGAGTTCCCTGGTAATAACACTTTGAAATCTAAGAGGACTGACTTCACCTTATCAGCCTGAAATTTGAAGCACAGCACTAACCAAAATTCCCAATACATTTTTTCTTGTTACCTAGCAATATAGTGTAACTTGCTATGTTATTTTCATGTTATTACAAGGTTATTGATGTGCTGTAAAAGAAAGGATAAAGATTTTTCATAAAGATAAAAAAACATATTTTTCATCTGTGAATCTGCTCTATAATCCAAAGCTCCTCAAGTGTAAAAGTTTTAGTTTCACCTGGTTTAATTCTGTAAAAACTGTTCTATGAAGAGCTTTTGGCTATCTGATTAGTAATTGATTAACCGAGAAAAAATATTTGACAGATTACTCGATTTGCAATTTTATTGTAGGGTGCAGCCCTAGTCCTGAATAATACTGGTGAACGTTGGCAACACAGAAATCTGCTGTTTGTTGATGATTCTTTGCTCTTTATGCTCCATTAACTCAACCAGATTAAGGATAAATTCTACTGGAACAAAGAAGGATAACAGCTCAGGCACTAAGTGATAAAGTGACCAATATGTGGAACATAGTGTTGGGACCCCTCCCCCTGTGACCTGGAGTAAGAGCCCCAGCCTAAGCAGATCTAGGAAACAGATGGATGAAAGCTTTTCAGCTCCACACTAGAAGGACATAATCCAGGCCTCAGGTTCTGCAGACTGAAAACAATGACATGGTTTCACTACAATGACTTTAACTGGAACAGGTTGGCTTTCTAAGTGGACCCAGTGACCTGATGCTGCATCACTGCTCAGCATGTGAAGACTGCTGCAAGCTCTAAATGCATCTAACATCCCCTGATTGGAGCAGGGGAGGGATTCACCATTAGCCAAAACTATTTACTGGGGGCCCATAAACCTCTGTTTCCATGTATAGTTAATACAACTATTCCTTATTGGCGCACATTAATGATGCTTTTGATAAAAATCCTTTCACTACAATGTCATCAGAACGCTGATAATATTAAGTGTATCTCACCCCCCCCCCCCCCCCCCCCCCCCCCCCCCCCCTTCAGTGTCCACCATATTGGATCAGTCCATTTGCTGCACATGTTCAGAAAGGTCCAAACAGACAGCAGCAAACCATTTGAAAACAAACCATGCAAAGAGCAGTGTTGCTAACTTAGCGCTTTAGTCGCTATATTTAGCCACTTTTCAGACCCCTCTAGCACTTTGATTTCTAAAAAGCTCCTAGCGCCAAATCTAGAGACTTTTTTCTGCTACTGGAGACTTTGGAGACAACATCTAAAAGCAGCGAACTCTGCTCTCCAGAGCGAGTAGATTGGTAACCCCGCCTCCTGCTCTCCTCTATCTTGTCTGCTGTCATGATTCATGCAGCTATTATTTCTATCTAAGTCAAAAAAAATTGATAAAGACCACATACTCGTTAACATCCTGACCAGGCTGCAGTGTTTCTGATTAAAAAGCATAAATTGGTGGAGTTTTAAGTTTTTTAAGGAGCCAGAATAATAAAGCTCTCAAATTTTACATAGATCCTTTAATAAATGTTCTAAAGTCTCTAGATGTGCTCTCTTCATCCTCTGACATGGGAGCTGGCTCGGAGCTCGTCTGCCTGGCTGTGTGTTTCCTGGACGGGGCCGCCTGTGGAGCTGGTTGACAGTTGCTTTTTGTATCTATGCTTGTTTTTCTATGTCTGCTTCTGTCTCCTTGAACCCCAGTCGGCCTCAGCAGATGGCCGCTCACACTGAGCCTGGTTCTGCTGGAGGTTTCTTCCTGTTCAAAGGGAGTTTTTCCTCTCCACTGTCGCTACAAGCATGATTAGTGTGAGGGATTGCTGAAGAGTCAATGAGTCGATGCAATCAGCTGGTTTTCCTTAGATAGAAAACTTTGAATCAATCTGATTGGATGATCTGGTGAACTGGAAAGTGCCTTGAGATGACGTGGTGTGAATTGGAGCTATAGAAATAAATTGAATAGAATTGGATGACCTGACCGTGTGCCGAGGAGCTCATTCAGCCATTTGATGATGTCTCGGCAACGGGTCTATAGTCAGTGAGGACTGCTGGCCGAGTCTTGTTTGGTCCTGGAACAAGGCGGGAGGTCTTCCACATCCCTGGAACCGTCTCCAGGGTCAGACTAAGGGGGAAGAGGTGCTGTAGAATCCCACAGAGCTGCTCTGCTCAGGCCTCCAGGACTCTGACACCATCAGGACCTGCTGACTGATTACCATTCAGTCTCTCCTGTTGCCTCTTTACTGACTTCTAGAGACAGACAGGTGGAAGGTGGAGGGAGCAGCACCACCTGCTGATCTGACTGATAAACTAATAGCAGGAGAGAGAATATCAGAGGAGGGCAGGACGTCCATGTGACTGTTGGCAGGAGAGAAAGATG